TATGACAATGTGTTTTAGAGTCATCCTCCTTTGTTAGTGCCAGGGCAGGAAAAGAGCTGCTATTGATACAGAGGGAGAAGAGAAAAAAAGGGAAAAAGAAACAGAAAAACTTTTAATAGATTAATATATTTAAACTGAATTATCAGGTTTTAAGCAATTTTGCTTCCCCCTGTATCAATAGCAGCTCTTATCCTGTCTTTAACTTAACAAAGAAGAATGACTTCAAAATGCAATGTCATAACAGCATATCCATGCCAGTTCCTATGTTTTTATGCATAGTTGAGTCACTTTGCCATGTTTCCATGTCATATGCATGAAAACATAGGACTGGGGTGCAGCAAAATGGCAGCAGATGCTCTTGACTGATGAGTCAAAATTTGAAATATTTATCTGTAGCAAAAGGCAGTTTATTCACAAAGAGTTGGAGAGCGGTACAATAATGAGGCAACAATGTCTGCAGGCAACAATGAAGCATGGTGGAGATTCCTTGCAAGTTTGGGGCTGCATTTTTGCAAATGGAGTTGAAGAGTTGGTCAGGATCAATAGTGTCCTGAATACTGAACGATACAGGCAGATAATTACCCATCAAGCCATACCATCACAAAGATGTGTGACTGGCCCCAAATTTATTCAGCAGGAGGACAACAACCCCAAACATGTAGCCAATGTCATTAAGAACTATATTCAGTGTAAAGAATAACAAGGAGTCCTGGAAGTGATGGTTTGGCTCCCAGAGAGCCCTGATCTTAACATCATTGAGTTTGTCTGGAATTACGTGAAGAGACAGAAGGATCTGAGGCAGCCTACATCCACAGAAGATCTCTGTGGTTAGTTCTCCAAGATGTTTGAAACAACTTACCTGCCAAGTTCCTTCAAAAACTGTGTGCAAATGTACCTAGAAGAATTGAAGAATTAACCACTTCAATACCAGGAACTTTCACCCTCTTCTTGCCCAAGCCAATTTTCAGCTTTCAGCACTGTCACATTTTGAATGATAACTGGTCATGCACAGGGACGGACTGACAACTCATGGGGCCCCGGGCACTAGGGGATCATGAGGCCCCTGTGTCCTTGCCCAAACTCAAAAAAGCCTATGCAGGAGGTTTGGTACCTCTGCATACGTTGGTTATTTACTGTTCACAAGTGTTTCTCTACTTGCCACTCTGGATAGGGGATTCTGTCTCTAGAAGTTTGTTTGGAGACGGGAACCCCTATATAGGTGTTGGAGGGTTGGGAGTAGACCTTTGACCCCCAAGGTCAGTTATCTTTTTCTGTGTTATGGGAATGAAGCACTCAACAAGTTGGGGTTGTGTGCCGGGAGGGGGAGAGTTTGGGACTGTTCTTCTGTGTTGCCGGGATGTGCTACTTGCCCGTTAATTTTCTGCTATATCTTAGGAGGTTAATATGCTCCCTTGGTGTTTAGGCTGAGATTAGCGGGGCTTTATGGCTCTGGAGCTCTTCTATTTGTCAGATATTTATGATTGCATGATAAAGGCTCTGTTGATCAAATTAATGTCTTGGTCTAAATTCTAAGATTAAGCGATCTCTGGTTTTTGACTATGTCAAGAAACATAAACCTCATATTATATGGTTTCAAGAGACACCTTTGCAAGGCTCCAGAGTCATGGCTTTATGGCGTTCTTATATTGCTTAAGTTTATCATGCGGAGTACTCCACCTATTCCAGAGGGATTGCAGTTTTAGTTGCTAGATCCTTAAATATACATGTTCTGTAGATTAAAACTGATCCAGAAGGAAGATTTGTTATTTTGGTCTGTAAGATTTTTAGCCAGTGTTTTACTATTGTGAATCTCTACATTCCCCCACCATTCTCTTTTTCAGTGTTGGAGGATAGTTTCTCAGTGGTGATCTGTGTGTCAGAGGGGGCTTTACTGCTCCTGGGGGATTTTAATGTGGTTTCTAATGTTGCTCTGGATCGCCAGGGATGTGAATCTGGGTCTCATCCTGTGTTGGCAACATGGCTGGAGACCCATGAGTTAGTTGATGTTTAGAGACATAGGAATCCGGGGGTGCCGGAGTTCTCCTGCCATTCCGAAACTCACTGTACACTATCTCAAATTGACATGTTACTTACTACGGTGGATGGTCTTTCATTGGTTCGCCATGTTAAGTATCTACTGAGGGCGATCTCTGATCATTCTCCCATGGAAATCAGTTTACAGCTCGGTACATTCAGGACTTAAACATTGGCGTATGAATACTGGGTGGTTGCAAGAGGCATATGTGAAACTAGGTTGTCTGGAGGCAATAAAACATTATTGGACAGACAACTATGCTGAGGCTGATGTGTCTAACTAATGGGATGCTATTAAAGCAACTCTTAGAAGTGCCTATATGAAGGTGGTGGGGGATTTCTCTAGAGCTCTGAGAGCTGATGTAGAACAGCTTGAGACTCAAGTGTCTCATGCTGTACGCACATATGTCGGTGATCCCTCTTTTGACAAATATAAGACATGGCTGGAATACCTATGCTTGGATTGCATACTTTTGACAGAACAAGTGAGTAAAGGTCAGTTGTATCAACGTAGACACATATTTGAGTTTGGGGATAAAAATGGGTGTCTTCTAGCACTTTTAGTCAGACACTGCTTCAATCCAATTTCTATATTACGCATTTGCAATTCCCAAGGAAATAATATTGAAGAGACACAGGAAATATTGTACTCCTTTGAACAATTTTATAAATATTTGTATCAATCTCAGGGAGAGGTTTCGACATCCTCTATGTCAGAATATTTAGCATCTATCTCTCTCCCTGTATTGTCTGGGGAAGAGAGAGAAGGGTTGGAACGGGCTATTACAGACCGGAGGAGATTGAGGCTGCGATTACATCTTTTGCCGCTCACAAATCTCCTGGCCTGGATGGTTATCCAATAGAATGGTATAAATTGTATGGGGAATTGTTAGTGTCATGCCTCCTAAGGGTTTATAATTCCTCTAGGCTGAAGGGGGAATTGCCATGGTCTATGCAGGAGGCTCTTAAAGTTTTACTCCCTAAACCTGGAAAAGATCCCCTGGAGTGTGAATCATATCATCCTACTTCTCTGATCAACACGTACGTTAAAATTTTGGCGAAAGTGTTAGCGAGGAGGTTACAAAAAGTGATTATAAAGCTAGTCGGGTCTGACCAGACTGGCTTTATGCCAGGCAGATGTGCTCATATTAATCTTAGGTGGCTCTTCGATACTTGCAAATAACATAGTAAAGGGCCCTGTGATTGCCCCTTTACCAGGATCTGTGATTAGCTGTTTCCAAAGAACACAGCGGTCACAGAACACGCTCGATGTGCACCCCAGGGGGCATGTGGGAGGCACGCATGTGAAAGAATGTCCATAGACATCCTCCCAGAACTGGGGAGCCTTGCTGCAGCTGTCTTTCAGCTATATTGTGGTTGGGAAGAAGTTAATACTGGTGCTCACACCAAATATTTATTTGATTTGGATTTCTCTCTTGTTCATTTACTTTCCATTTTGTTAATTGATAAAAATAAGCTATGAGCACTTCTATTTCTGAAAGCATTCTTAATTTACAGAATTTTTTCACACCTGCCCAAGCCTTTTGCACAGTACTATATATCTACTACACTTAGATTGTGCACACTGCTGATTTTATTGCCCATGACTATTACTTTCCTAAAACAATTTTGGCTGTGAATTGCAAGGGTTCCTTCTCATTCTTCTGCTTCTCCTGTCTTTGCTGGCCTCTTGGCATTACAATTTATCTCACCCCTGCCTACCCTCTTACACAGCTGTGGTTTATCACCCTCTACTATTAAAGGATTGTGGGTTGCTGTCCTTTTCTCTTGCGCTCTCTCTCCATTTTATTGTACTTCTCTGCGAGCTCTCATATCAATTCCTGTCTTTTTTAGAGATTAGTGCACAGTCTAGGTAAATCCCTTATGTCATGGACCTCCCTCTCCTTGAAGCCAAGGAGTGACCTACCTAATCCTCTGAATTTTGATCACTTATCCAAACTACTTTTCTATTTGGTTTGTTGTTCTGTTTTTTTTTTCCTTAAGGTGGATGGTTGGTTGTCCTCCACATTGTTCGGTGAGGCTCACTACTTCTACAGGTACCAGTGTCCCCTTACAAATTGAATCACAATGTAATTTCATTGGCAATATCCTTTTCCATATTTGGCCATCAAACCTTCTAGTAGGCACTGATTCCAATAATATTTTGCCTCCGTTGGTTTTCTTAGTGGCTTTTGCCTATCCCTCAGTTGGACTACTTTTGGACGTCTAAGACTTACCAAAATCCTGTGCACCTCAATGTCCGATAAAAAAAAAAATTAGATTTTTGTACTTAATGTAAAATCTTTTTCTGAGCCAAAGAAAAAAAGCAAAAAGACTAAATATGAGCAGGGCAAATAATCATTGGCAAAGTACTGTGAAGTTAAAATTATGATATATTCTTGGAAGTGGAAGGGTTCTGGGTCCAGCTTCCACAGAGGGGTTCTAAGGGGCATGGATTAGAAATGAGATAAGGCAAACCTGGTGAGTTGGCATGTAAACATTTCTGATTCTCCTAAATAATGTGTCAAGATCACACAATGAATACACCTTGATTGCCTGCATTAGTACTTTGGACAAATGTGGACACTTTTGAATTACACAATCTAAAAAATGCAAAATACACGGTTCACCAGAAAAAAGCCATACACATAAAAAGTAGCAGGTATAGCTGAGAGGAGAAGGAACCAAACTGCAGGGCCAATACGTAAACTACAGGGAGGGGAGTAGGAAAAGTACTACACAAAAAGTTTACTACAGGATGAAAAAAGAAAACAAGGGTTTAATTCAAGCTAACACAATAGGACAAAGCTTATTTAAAATAAAAGTTTTCAGCTTAGTCCAATGAGAACTGAAAGTTACAATCATGTGGCTCAAATAATTCTTCTGTTAAAGCGCTATAAATGGAACGAATTGTATGGTATTCATGTCATGGTAATATAAAAGAAGACATCATGACACAACATATTTTATGTTGATATTAGGCAATGCATGGCATTGGACATACCACTGTTCTCCACAATGAAGTCCCGAACATCTTGGTAGTGAGAGAGATTGCCAAATACTCGGGCTGCTTCAAGAATTCCATCCATGTTATTTGAAAGCAGCAGTTTGAACATCACTGTTGATTAAAGAAAATGTTTTGTCACATGTTCCAAAATTTGCAAGATATAAAAAATAAATAGTTTAGTTCCGTGCCATTGATTTCAGTATAATATATGTCAGCGCATACAGCATAGTTGTCATTTCACAAGTCTGAAGCCCCTGATATAGGCTGCTCCTGCTCCAATAGGGTACCTATGCAAGAAATCCTGCAAGATAGGGCCAAGCACTAGCTTAGTACTCCCCATACAGTGCCCCCCCCCCCCCTTTCCCAGACACCATCTTGTCTCCTACTATTATTCCCCACTTATACCATTCCTGCACCCTCTCACCCCGTATGTATATTGCAGCTGGAAGCATCAGTTAAAGAGCCTCAAGAGGAGAAGCAGGGTATTGTGATGAAAGGAAAGCTTTAGTTTACATTTCATATAGGACAGAAGGCTTACAGATTCTCTCACATAATTGTGTTGTTTGACACTTCATTTAGTTCTGTGTGCCAAAGCGCGGCCTCTATAGTAAATGTCAGTTGCCTAAAATCAGTGCTATGCTACTGGAGGGCCACAGTGCCTAATACAGACCTGTCAACATATAACTGATATATCACCTATAATAAGATATGTTTCTAGTTCATAAAAGGGACATTTTCATGGGCTGCAATGGAAGGTGAAGCCAGTTCTTCAGTTTATTTCAAGAGGTCCATTTTCACAGGTCTACTTTTTCTCTAGATTCTATAAGGGAATATATAACATTACACTGTACATCACATCACCATACAAAAGAAGACTCACATTTAGAAATCTCAAGTCTCCTCTTGGTAACAGTAGAGCTGTCATTTTCATAGAAAGATAAATTATTGAGTGTTGCTACAGTATTGATCACCAGTTCCTCACATTCATCAATCAACTTGTACTCTAATTGTAAAAGAGAACCAAGAGTAATGTAAAATGTGAGATCATTATAAATACAGAATATAATCCAAGGTTAGGGTATAAAAGAACAAAATCAAAACAAATATGCAGAATCCGGCACCAGCTGAGAAAAATGACTTGACAACGTTTACAGAAATAAGCCATGTGATCAGCACAAGTAGCCTGATCATGTTTTTCAAATCGGCAAAAAAAGCATGTGTATTATCACACCACAAAGCTTCCTGCTTTTCTTTTTTTCAAAGGAGAAGTGTGGGAATAAAAAAAACCATCCATAATCATCTCTATGGCTGCAGTTGTTCCCCACCGGCTCAGTTCTGTCAGTCACTGCTCTCTGCTCTGACCCTCCAGCGCTCAGTGGTATGTCAGGCTGGGGAGGGGACGGGAGCAGCTGCTTCAGGATCTCAGAGAGTGCGAGCCAGCTGACAATCAGGCATCTGGGTGGATCTCAACATTAATGTCAGGATCCTTCCAAAGCCTGAAGCAGCTCTGTTACATCAGCTGACAGTGGGCTTTATAACCAATATCAGTATATATTATAAAGGTCAAATGTCCAGAGTACTATGAAGATAAAGACATAAATACAGCCAAATTTATATTCAGGATTTTACTTCTGCCTGTGACTATAATTTGAAGATTTTGCCTTTCTTCCTGTCCCTATGACACCTTTACAAGAAATGGATTGGATTTTATTTTTCTGCCATCATTTCCTGCCCAGCAAGACTAAAAAATAATAGGAAAATCACTTCAACAGGGACCAAGATAAAAAAATCCAGCCCTTTCCTGTTCTTTCTAAATTAAATATAAGTTCTAGCTGAAATTGGGCTTTATGTAGCATATAGTATTTTTATACTTTTTGATTGGGTTGGGAAAGATTATGTGATAAGTTATTCATTACTGTTATTTTTATTTGGGTACAGTTGCTCTTTTTTCTGGCTTGTATATCTGAAAATTCCCCATAGCCTTCTGTGCAAGTATGGTATGAGGCACGGAGATATAAAACTGAAAGCTTAAAAGGGAACTTCAGAATGAGAAGGGACATAGCAGAAGTTGTAACCCTGTCATAACAGGGCACACCACCAGTTGGAAAACAAGTTTTATGTTTGCTTTTTTTCAGTTTGTTCTCCCCATAAACATGAGAAGAGGTGACCCACAGACTGTTATTCAACCAGGACTTTCATTGCTTCATATAAATAGTCAAGCTCAATATCTGCTGAGAATAACATGCATATGGCTTTTTTTTAATGGGTTCAATGTAAAAGGTCCTTTGATTTAATCCGATAATACAATCAGGAACTGCTTTTATACTTTTCATTATGGCAGCTGCTAAAGAGCTTTAGTAGCCTCATTGCCACCCCTGGCTGCATATTCACTGCATGTAATAAGATAAAATTGTTTGCATTAGCAGCAGTGCAGGAGTCTACGACTTTGTACTTACGACTTTAGTTATGGCACGAAGGGAAGTAAATCTTCCCCTTATTTTAAGGGTCATGGTTCTACATTTAATTTTTAGCCAGAAGATAGATTATTTCCATTGTGGATTAAAATTACTGTTTGTACATAATGCTTTATTTATGTCAGCGGACTCCAAACTGGGCCCTTTGCTTGCATTTATCCAGCCCTTGGGGCACTATACCTCCTACTGCTATGAGGCGCTATTCCTCCCACTGAACACCAACAGTGGGGTATAATTCCTGCCACTGACACAAATGATGGGGCACTAGTCCTCCAATACCAATGATGGAGCACTATACCTCTTCTTAATGACTACAGATGCTATGTAACTGTTTTTTTTTTTCTGCCTTTAAATGCTCCTCTGAAAATATGCCTGTAAGTTCTCTAATGTACATGGACACATAGGCTAGCATAAAGCTGCTTCTGCATGCTGAAGAAAAAAAAAAACGAAAAATGCCCGTATAAGCAGCATTTTTATGCCCAGTGTGCATGGACCCTAAATCACACATCTTAAAAGGGAGGTGCTCCCCTAGACATGATAAGGACTCTTCCTTCTATGAAGAAAAAAAATATATAAAGGGAAGAAAATTACAAATGATGGAAACATGAAAAAAGAAAATTTACATAAAAGCAAGAAAAATATTTTTTACTGAGAATTTCCACTTCAAATCAGGACTCACCTAGAATATGAATTAATCGTGAAATACAGTTTTGATCAGCAGCCAAATATTTGCCAACATTTGGATGGACAGACAGGTTGGCTAATAAGCTTACTAATTTTATCAAAATATCCTCAACTTCAGAAGATTTTTTCAGGTCTTTAGCGTTCTCTTTCTGAATAGATTTGATTGATTGTATCTTTACATCAAGTTCACAGTAAACGTGTAGTAAATGTATAAGTGTTGCAATGCTTCCTTTTACTTTATAGAAGTCTTCTCTGGCTGCATTTGTCTTGGCAGTTAAGTTGTTAAGCGTGAATGCTATCCGAACAACAAGGTCCTAAAAAGAATATTTAAAAAAATATTATAAAAAAATATAAAAGTATATTAAAAAAGAAAGAATGTAATGAAAAACTAATTATACAACTCAAAAAACTGAGTCTTAAATATGAAAAATGGAATCATATTTAAGTGAAGCAAGGAATTCATTCTCATGACACTGAAAATAGACTTGCCTGTTAACTAAAAATAATGAACAGGCTACAATTCTAAAATGCAGGTGCCTAGGGATTCCTGCACATACATGCATATGCATTTTTTGGCAGCCTCTGTAATATTCAAATGTCATGTGGTCTTGTTCGGGCACTCTGTAACAATCAGTGCTGAACACTTGGTGGCACCAGGGATTTATGTTTCTAAAATTAGGTGGGGACTTCTGGGTTGAGGAGTAAGACAAAAGCCATATCAGCTTCCTGTCTGATATGAATTTATAGTTTGATTCAGCATGTCTCTTGTGTTTTGACTGTGCTTGCCATCTAAAGTTCTTCTGTCTTTAGATGGCAAGCAGTGAAACATTACATAGTCCCACAGGGGGTGAGTTTATGATGCCCTACGGAAAGTAGTTGAATGCAGCTGGGTATCATTCAACCAGAGGAAGGCTGAAGCTGGACCTGAGAGTGGTGACTCAATAAAGGGACCATAAATTCTGAAGAACCCTTTGCACACTGGTATATACCCTTTCCAGCAGACTTTGCAATAAACAATAGGGATATTTGGTTCACACATATTGTAATACATGTTTCAGCTGGCCAACTGTGTCAAAGTAATCCCTCTATAGCCAGTCCTACTCTGCCTACGCAAATGCTAGGGAGGGAGAGTTCCCCTTCATAAGGACACTGGGGAGATCTGCTTCAGGGGTTTCCTCTATTGGCTGCAGGCTCAGGTTTGGTGAAAAATCTGTCTAATGTCACTTGTCTTTTCCTGCGCTGCATAACCCTCTGGAAATGAGAGACCATGTTATCGTTCATCAGATTAAACACTCTGTTCATTACAGTTATGTTGGGGTGGTGCTTCTCAAAAAAATTATGGCACTCATTCCATATTTCCATAATGGATTTTATGGCATCACTGCTAACCTCCTCCCTATCTTCCTCTTCGTCAGTGGAATGCTCCTCAGTAAGAGCCTTCTGCTGCTCACTGTGGAGTTCAGAAAGTTCTTCCGTGGTGAGCTCCTCCTTATGTTACTCAACAAGCTGCTCTATGTCTGTACCATCGACATACAGACCCATTCTCTTACCCATGGATACAGTCTCCTCCACTACCTTTGCATTAGACCCTTGAGCGTCACATTCAGTGACACTTTCTGGCCACAGTTTCCTCCAGGCTGAGTTTAAGGTTCAGTGAGTGACATCTTCCCAGGCTTTGTCAATGAGGTTGATTCAGTGGAGAACACTGAAATGTTTCTTCCAGAATTCTTTCAGACTCAAGGATGTCTCTTCACTGACCTTAAAACACCTAGTGAAGAGCGCCTTTGTGTACAGCTTCTTGAAGTTGCAGATCACTTGCTGGTCCATGGGCTGCAGAAGAGGTGTCGTGTTTGGGGTAAAGAACTTGACCTTTATGAAGTCAAACTCAGCGTCCATATCATCCACTAAGGCTGGAGGGTGTGACAGGGCATTGTCCATCAGAAGAAGGCACCTGTCGAGCAGTTGGTTGTATTTTCTTATGGTGGGTGTGAACACCTTGTGCACCCATTCCATGAACATTTACCTTGTGACTCAAGCTTTCGCATTGGCACTCTACATGACAGGCAGTCTGGCCTTGTTCACATTCTGTTCCCTGAATGCATGAGGGGTCTGGGAATGGTACACCAGTAGTGGCTAAATCTTCAGATCGGTGCTTGCGTTTGCACACAGCAAAATCTGTCCTTCATGGGCTTGTGCCCCGGCAGTGCCTTTTCCTCCTGCGTGATATAGGTTCTGTTCGGCATCTTTTTCCAGAAGAGCCCCGTTTCATCACAGTTGAACACTTGTTGAGCGATGTATCCTTCTGCCTTCATGAATTCCGCAAATTTTTTCTTGTAGGTTTCTGCAGCGGCCTTGTCAGAACTGCAAGCCTCACCATGTCTTGTCACACTGTGGATGCCACTTCTCTTGCGGAATTTTTCAAACCACCCTCTACTGGCTTTAAATTCTTCACTTGCTGCACTGGTATAGGGTTTTTTTTTTGCAATAAATCACTGTGCAATTTCCTAGCGTTTCTCACAGATCATAGCTTCACTAACGCTATCACTTGTCAGCTGTTTCTCATTCAACCACACTAACAAAAGTTTTTCCACCTCTTCCAGCACTTGTTGCCTCTGCTTGGTTAACATCGTTACTCCTTTTACCACATCATCTCCTTTGATGGCAGCTTTCTTCTTCAAAATAGTCAAGATTGTCGACTTCGCCATCTTGTATTCCAAGGCCAGATCAGTCACACGAATACCACGGTCATGCTTTTCTATAATTTATGGTTATTTTCTTCACAACCTTATTCTTACTATTCTTGCTCTGCACTTTCTTTTTACCACCATGCTTGCTCTGCACATTCTTGTCACCTTCATTACCGCTCTCTGCATGTTCTTGTCACCTTCATTACAGCTCTGCATGTTCTTGTCACCTTCATTACAGCTCTTCACTTTCTTCTTACCACCATGCTTGCTCTGCACATTCTTGTCACCTTCATTACCGCTTTGCACTTTCTTTTTACCACCATGCTTGCTCTGCACATTCTTGTCACCTTCATTACCGCTCTGCATGTTCTTGTCACCCTCATTACCGCTCTGCATGTTCTTGTCACCTTCATTACAGCTCTGCATGTTCTTGTCACCTTCATTACAGCTCTTCACTTTCTTCTTACCACCATGCTTGCTCTGCACATTCTTGTCACCTTCATTACCACTCTGCACATTCTGGTCACCTTCATTACAACTCTGCACTTTCTTTTTAACAACATGCTTGCTCTTCACATTCTTGTCACCTTCATTATCGCTCTGCATGTTTTCGTCACCTTCATTACCGCTCTGCACTTTTTCAACAACATGCTTGCTCTGCACATTCTTGTCACCTTCATTACTGCTTCACACTTTCTTCTTAACACCATGCTTGCGCTGAATTTTCTTTAGAGCCATACTGGATGTCCGGTACAGTATGTGCTAAAAAGCACAAAAAAAAAAAAAGTTTTACAGCAAGTGTGCGCAGGGATGCACAGTACAGTACTGTATAGTATGTATTAAAAAGTACACCAAAAAGCTTCTCAGTACTGTAAGTGACTTCACAGTACACTTTCAGTGTCTGTCTGTGACCTCAATCTTGCCTACAGGAAGTCACAACCACGTGTCAGAGCAGGGAAGATGGCTGCAGCTCGTGTTAGTCAACTGAAGCGGAGTACACGAACCAAAGTAAATTTTTGTGAACTCTTCTGTTCACAAACCGAGTTGTTTATGAACAGAAGCGTTCGTGAACCGAGGTATCACTGTATAGGGCAAGGGACCATGCTCGAAAGAGCTGAATAGTCGAGGCAAAGCTGCATTGTGCACTACTATTTTTAATGATACTAGAAATTGACTTTAATGTTTAATATGTTTTATAGGCAAAAAAAATAAAAAAAATATTCCTCTCCAGTTTGGCAAGTGATCATTTTAAACCTTTGATATAAAGCACACATTTTATTCTGCAAACTGTGCTGTTTTATCATGACGCCAAGTGGTACAAAGAGGCCAAGTTATTTACAAGAGAAATTAAGGTGTATTTTTTTAACTTGTGTATTTGTATGCGTGTTTGATTTTTATGTTTATGCAAAAAAAAAATTAAACAAAAACAACTCTCTCCCCTATTGTCATTAATTATTAAGGATATATTTGAAAACTTTATCTATGACTGTAAACTGAAAAACTCCAAGTGATATGTCCAAAAAGAATGGACTACAGGGTTTCAGATGAATGGGTTGGAGGACTGGTATTCATGTAAAGATAGCTAATCAACAACTCTTTTTGAACCTGTTTTTTGGTAGACACAAGGCAACCAAAATTAAATTACTACTCACATAGAAGTGAAACATTTGAGTTTTTACAGCAAAAGGCCAACATTGCAAACAGGCTGTTTACATTTTATGACATCACAGAGAGCAAATATTTCACTATATGCACTTCGCGATTCATGTTTTAGTTTGTAGATGCTTTAAATTATATAATAGACCATGCTTAAGTTATATACTAAATCAATAGTTTATTACTGCCAATTAGTTCTGGCTACCAACTTTTCTCTCCCTTTTAGCAATCAGAACAAGCTCTGATGAGCACTGATTTTCCACAAAGTGCAAAGAAACGCCAGCAGAAGGTATGCAGCACATAATATTTTCCTTGTACACTCTTCCAATAACAAACTGCAGATATTCTTGGACTCAGAAGATATAAATGATTAACATCTGCCCTAACCACAAGTGTCAGTGCGCCCAGGAAAATGTTGCGGTAAGATGGGATGAACCAAAACAAGTTGCCTGTGCTTATTTAACCTATAACATTCCAGGATTTTAGGAAACATTTATATAGTTTTCTATTTAACACATAATATTACATATTTTAGGTCTCTTGTAAACACTTCTAGTATTTCAACTTTCTCAGTCATTCCTTTTAAGTATTGGTCACAAACTTCCTTAAGAACATAAAACAACCACAAATAGAAATGGTTGCAGTAGGACTGAGGTTTAAAAATTTATACCAGAACTAAAAATTTTTTATTAATGAAAACACTCAGATATTGTAAGTTAAAACTAGTGCATGCATGCACAAATACAAAATTGTGCTTTTTGTGGCATTCTCAGTTGGCTCCTTGCTGCAGTACAGGCACAAAATCGGGACGTTAGGCTGGCCATAGACAATTAATTTTTTTTTTTCGATCAGCTTTTGCTGTAACTGCTTAAAACATATTAGCTGGAGATCATCTTTAATTTGTTAAGTCAAGTCTATCCAAATCTACTGGTCTAACACTACCCTTTCCTCAGTCTGAAATGCTGCTGTTC